TTATAAAGCCGAATGGAATATAATTATTAGCGAGATTGTTAAGCTGTGTTTCCACGAGGCTGACGCGGGCGGGCGCGGCTGCGTCCAAGGGGCGGACGCGGGTGACCTGTTTCCACGTGGCGGGCGCGGGAGGGTGATTAAGAAATATGAATTTAGTTATTTACAATGCATCCCTTTAACAAACTGCATAACTGCAATCAGCACAAAAAGTTGTCTTAGAATGAAAGATTTCATGGCTCTAGACCGTTCACAGATAATATTATGCTCATTTGAATCAATCGCAACACAATTTTATTGTGCAATTCTTGCACTTGGGCCATTTTTGGGGCATAATATCTTACTAATTAAACAATTTATCCCTTTAACAGACTGCATAACTAAAATCAACACAAAAAGTTGTCCTAGGATAAAAGGTTTCACGGCTCTAGACAGTACACAGATAATATTATGTTCATTTGAAATCAACAGTAAATACAATTTTATTGCACAATTCTTGCACTTGGGCCATTTTTGGGGTACATATCTTACTAATTAAACACTATATCCCTAAACGAACTGCATGCCTGAAATAAGCACATAAAGTTGTTTTAGAATTATAAGTTTCAAGGTCTAGGCAGATTATTTTTAATATTATCGTTATTCAAAAATTTATTTTATCACATTTACGCACTGATACTGTCACAAATTGAAAAATATACCCCTTTTCAAATCGCTTTTTAAACATGAAAGGATAAAGACACCAAGTTGATATTTGGAACATCTGATCATCATATATAAATTAATTAATGGTGCAAGTTTTAACAACCAGCATACTTGCCCACAGGGTCAAAGGTCACCATGAAAACGAGGCATTTTTGTGAATTTTTTGTCCCGAATGACCTTTTGACCTACGATTACCCCCTATAATGATAAGTTAAAAATCCGAAATTTTTTGTGGTGAAACATTTTCAACTATATATTAATAATTTGGTACATAAGACCTATTTAAAAACTGATTTGGGTATTTTAATGGGGTCTAAAAATGGAAGAAAAATTATGCAACCAAATAAGTTAGGGTCTTTACGAACCAATATTTTCGTAACGGTGTCCGGTATACCAAAAGTCATGTTATATTCCTGTTCTACAGTCAAAAGTTAATCTAGATATCAATTTTCAGTTAATTATCTTTATTCTATTTGAAGATATGGCTAATTGAAAATGCAACTTTACAAATATGTCATAATTGATAGCTAAAAAGGGGTATGACCCTAAAATTTCAAATGGCCGTAACTTCTAAACGACTTGGAATTGGCAAGTCAATGGCCATCCCATTTGTTGAGTTGGATGGAAGCATACCAATGTAATTAAAATTAGGTAAGTGGCCTCGTTTGCCTCACCCTACAGACACTTGTCTGACCACAGGCACATTGTGGTAGTAGGCAAACCTTGGAGATACCAATCCCACCCAATAAAGGCCATAAACTACTATATCAGATGTGGATTGTTGACAGGGATGTGTCCAGTCTACATTACAGTAATTAGTTACCCAGGGACCAGTGACTTCCTTGAAAAGGACCAAGGCTACATATATATATATATATATATATATATATAGAATATAATATAACGTAACAGTAAAGAAACTCAAATATGTAAGATAATGACTTTAGAAACACTAAAATTTATTAGGCGAATATTTCGGCTACTCCTGTAGTCTTTATCAACACTTGACATAAAATGAACATATTGAGAAAGTTTCAAAACGGAACACCCCTTTGAAAAAAAATGGAACAGTCCGACTCAAGGTGCCACGTGCAAACCGTCTCCCTAACAAACGTCCTCATTCCCCAAAGATCAACACGATCACGGCGAGGGTAGGAAGGGAGGGAAGGTTATCCAGGTAAGTATCTCACTCATAGACTACCAACATCACGATTGATTTGTGTAGTCTATTTTGTGAATACTTACCTGGGCGGGAACGCGTACGTCCAAAACATGTCCCATGAGATGGAAAGGGCATCTACTGCCCACGCTGTTGGTTCCAGAAACCGGGAGCAAAACGTCGGAAGCTGAGTGTTCGCATTCGTTGCAAACAGATCTAGGTTGGGACGCCCAAACGTGTTGAAAATATGCTGGGCCGTCGAACGGAGTGGAGGTAACCGACGTCGAGAGAGCGCATCGGCGAGGACATTCAGTCGGCCGGGAGCAGGAGCTGCCATGTATGGAAGCATAGCGTTGGTGAATGCGTGCTGCCCTGACGGTTCATATAGGAGACCACGGTTGAACTGTTGGAATGAACTAGCACAGCTTTCCCCTTTGCCCGATCGACGAAGGCCTCCAGAGACTGAAGAACTGCTAAAAGCTCCAGAACGTTTATGTGACTGGTGGATTCTTCCAGCGACCAGTCCCCCACGACGCGCTCCGTGAGCGAACAACCACCCCAACCCCCAAGGGAGGTGTCGGCCGAAAAGTGAAAGACGGGGAGAGGGTCGGGGAAAGACTTCCCGCCCTGAAGCACGTTCTCCCGAAGCCCCCACCGGAGGTGCCTGGCGACAAATGCGTTCAAGGGAATCTGAGCTGACAAGTCCCGAGACGCTGGAGAGAAAAACGCGAGCAGATGCAGCTGAAGAGGGCGCATGCGAAGCAGGCAATAAGGAAGGAACTAGGTCTACCAGACTCGCGAAACCCCAACATCCGCAGCCACGACTCGGCAGGGGAATGCGGAAGGGAAAGAAGCTGAGTGATTGCTAGCTGACACTTGCGGATCCAACCCGTGGAGGGGAACTCCACTGAACGAACAAGATCGATGTGCGCCCCCAGATACAGCGGAAGTTGCGTGGGAACAAAAACCGATTTCTCCCGTTTGATAATGAACCTTAATGTTTCCGTCATGTCATTGTCTTGTAGGCTCATACGCTGAATCATCGTGGCTATGTGCTTTCTCAATCTTGTTGACTTAAGTAGGTCAGGCTTTTTAGCGCCACATTAGTATGAGTGATAACGCAGAGCATCACATCCTCTAACATGTGAACAGCAGGTATTAGAGACAACTGCGAAGAAGTATTTGTTTCTTGGATTTACATCAATTTTGTTATTCTTCCTGTAAATTAGTAAAGTATCCATTGCTTTTTTCACAAATTCAGTCATCATTACGGGGACTATTCTACTATGTTTTCCTTTTACTTCAACACGCCACAGTAGTTTCACCAAGTTCTTCACCCATTCGGCCATTTGCTCTAGCTGTCCCTCTACCATTGTGGATTCCCCCCTTTTGAGCTGGATGTAATCATCGACCGTCATCTTACTGACAACAAGGAGACGACAAGGAGAAATCAGTAAGTCATGATAATCTTACTTAGTTCAGCCCGTAATTTACTTGTGTCTTCCACGCTTTTAGTTTTTAGTTGTAACATGTATTCTTCTGTTTTTTCCTGCAAATACCTTGGTAGCAGTATGACGTCATTCGTTAAGGGCAAAAGCTGCGGATTGCATTGCAATCTGATTTAAGATGTGGCCGAGCTTCAGGGCTAAAGATGGAGTATGATACATGTGTGTTCCTTCCTCAAAACCAGAAACAGCTCTAACTGCTTGTGCAACCCTCAAGAATTCTTTGGGATTAATATTAGAGTGGAAAGATTTGCACTTAATTTGTTTTTGTCTTGTCTGTATTGAATGACTAGTCGTGCAATTTTACATAGCTTCCCTCTAATATAGGAGTATTGTTCCTGGTCGTGGGCGAGTTTATAAAGCAAAATTTCTTGGCAAATTTTATAATCAGATAAACATTCTTGATAACTTGTTCTACCTCACCAGGGCGTAAACCAGCCAGGACCCTGTGAACTGTGTCATCACCATCAATATTAGGTAAAGGTGGCAACATTTGTCTTCCTTTAGCCACTATACCTCTCGTTTTGCTGTTGCTATCATTTTGAGAACTCGGGTCGATAAACACCTGTGTTTCCACATCTCGCTCGCTGCATACCAGCCAAAGCAACGGTAGCATGGCTGGTAATCATTGACATTTACCTTATGACTTGGCCTGTATATTGGTATGATTGTACCATTCCCCTCTTTTAAGACATGGCAATTGTGAATGTGATTACCTTTGTTGCATATCATAGTTATTAGTCACCACGAAATGAAAGTCAATATTTTACAAAATTTGATTTTAATGTTTTTGAATAACTTGATACTCATATATTTTATGGTTCTATACTTTGTAAGTGAATTTTCTTGCCAAAATAGTGTTCCCTGCACATATCCTGCACATATTCTGTAATTCTATTCATGTACAGGTTAGTTTATATTTTAGGTTGATTTTCTCAAAACGTGGTTCTTATACACCTAAACTTTAAATTCACATCTCTTGATTTACTTATAGCATAGAGAAAATAGAACCCATTTCAAGACTAAATGAAAGCTAATAATGTGATCTACCCAATTATATATAAACTCTATTTTTGAATTTCCAACCATGAGACTCATTTTGTGGCGAGACCTCACATTTTTGTTTGAAGCATCATATTGTAAACTATTAAATGTGGATAATGGAATATTTTGAAGCCTTTTTTCTCTTATTTATATCATACACTGTTAACAATTTCCTGTAAAATTTACAGTAAATTACTGGCAGCTCAGACGCCAGTAATTTACTGTAAAATTCACAGTAGTGATCAGTGTTACTGTAAACAAATAAAGCAGTAATTTACTGTAAATTTTACAGTATAAATAAATTACTGTAAATGTAGCCACAGTAACTTACTGTAAAAATTACAGTACAAATTGACAATACTGTAAATGCTACCTGTAAAATATACAGTAGTAAAGCATTCTACTGTAATTGTAAGTACAGTAGAGGAAATACTACTGTAAAAAAATACATTAGAATCTGCGAAACTGTATTTGATTTACAGCCAAATATACAGTAATAATTATTCTGCTGTATTTCAGATCGAAATAATAATGTATTAAAAAATCATCGTCCTGTAAAGTGAAAATACATTTGAAACATGGAATAAGTTACTAAATGTTTCAATTGTATTTTCACTTTAGAGGATGATGATTATATTCACTAAATTTTAGGTTGAACATACAAAAATAAAGAAAATAATACGTGATTAACTTTGTAGTAATAAATGTTTATTAGAGGATGCTACAATACATAAACTCTTGTCAACATATAAAACAATAAAAAAAAAAATGAAAATTGATAACTCTATACATATGCAATTCACAAAATCAGGCAGCCAGTAATTTGAATCCATCTATAAACTAAAAAACTCCTTTTACACTTCACAGTAAAAAATAGCCTCCCCTCAGTGAATTTTTCCGAGAGAATATACAAAAAGAGTACATTAAACTTTATAATTTACAATATATTTACAGAGTTTTAATATCAAAGGTTATTTTTTTTAAATAAAGTGGAACCAAACCATTTGATAAGAAAACAATAAAATAATTGAAAATTAATTATGATTTAAAAAACAAAATATTATTTTAAACTTATTTGACATGATAAATTTCACATGATAAATTTCACTCTTCTTTAAAAGATATTCCTTACTGGTAGACATTATCCAGTATACACCCATGGTAGGCCACACTTATTAAAGTAAGTTGAGGATCAGGGGATCAGAGATCCAATAAAAAAAAGTTAGTAGCAGCCCATCGCATGTCTTCTATATTAGCGGAAAAAAAAATTTGGAGGCTAATGTACATAAAACTATTTCTATAAATCTACTGACATCCATATCTTGATTCCTAAGCAGACGTCCATTCAAAATCTGCTAAGTTTTTAATAAACGTGGCAACATGAGGATTAATTATCTCCCTTTTTCTTTGTACAAGTCTACCAGTCTTCTTGCTGGTCCTATTTGTAGTAGTGCATTTCGTCCCAGCCTCCGGATTTATACGTATTAAACATCTGTAATAAACAAGAATTTAAAAAATTAATTTTTCTAGATCTTCTACACACCATATAATTATTTCATATTTAATTTGTGTATTGTTATTTATAATTAAATAATAATAAATAATTAATTATCTTATCTTGAAATTTTAAAAAATTATGTATTTTTTTTAAATGTTCTGTTTTCTTGCATCTTTGATTGTGAGGTTATTTTTTTAAGAGGGGATGTAAGAGGTGCTTGTAACCTGTTCATCTTTTTTGCTCCTGTCCATTTTTTTTCCCAATTGTATATGTCATTTCTGTGCAATGATGAAGCGTAATAAATTAAAAAAATAAATAAATTAAAAAAATAAATATTTAAAGGTTGATGTATCATGACATGTTGTTTAATATACAATAGTTACTAAAGTGTAGAGACTCGCTTCAACATTAGTTCTTGTTTTACACGCGGATTCCTTTATACACTAATTAATGTAAATAGTGTAAGCATTGTCTAAAATACTATGAATACACAAGCTTCCTTTCCTTGCTTTTCAATAACGAGAACAATGACAATATCGTGAACAAAAACATGAATTATCATTGCACATGAGGAGTACAACATTATTTTAAAATTTTTTGATTTACCTTTGTATAAACTCCAATGTGGTAGCCGCTTCAAAACAAAACAAAACAACTGCTGGTGCCACCATTTCACAATCCTCTGACTGGAATTGTTCAAGTATTAGGCTTACTCCTCTTTTTGGGTTTGGTTGACTTTCAAAAAATTAAATTATCCGCATTCCTTTCTTTAGTCTGGCCTCCCTTAAACGCATGTGTATTGGTATACCTGTCAATTTATGAAATTGTGCAAACAGCCCCCTCTCTACAAACAAGTATGGCCAGTTCTTTCTTAATTCAGGAATGGTAGGCGATGGATTTCTTGAGTTAAGCATTTTACGCTGCAAGATGCAAGTGTCGCTCATCAGCTGCTCAATGTTTTCATTGTCGGATTGGGTTGGACCAAACTGCTCATAGTGGTCAATCAATTCCCCCTTCTTGAACTGCAAGGTTTCATCAGTTTCACCTGGAGGCAATTTATTTGGCTGCCAGTTAATGCAGCCATATGAGTCAACTGCTGGTTGTTCATTAGCTGCTGCAACTTCCTTGTTATTGTTCTTTTTTTTCTTCCTCATGCGTGCTGCATCATTGTTTCTATTAACATGTTCCACACGCGTTTTGATTTTCATTAACAGTGAATAATATCCACATCCAAGTTTTTCTCCATCATCAGTTTTGTCAATAAAACTGTCAGAATACTGCACAACGATTGCTTTTGCCACGGATGCACACTGTGCCTTATTTGGATTAGGTTTAAATGTCCGCATTACATCTACGACCATTCTCACCATGTGTCTTCTCTCTGCCGGGCTTGGCCGATTCCCTGATCTTAGTGCATTTTTAAGACCATGAGGAAATTTATCAAAAGGTATATCAATTACATCTGGCCAATTCATAAATGAATTATTAGGTGATACTATTGAAGGTACTGCTTGAGAATCGTCCGATGAAGATCTCTCAGAAGATGTGGATGGTGATAGTGAAGGTAGATCAATGGGAATTATCGGCATTACACTAGCAAATGGATCTGAAATATAACAATTCAAACGGCATTATGTTGCAGCCTATAAAATTACAACAAATGGACTGAAGCAAACAGGATATCATTATACAATCCAGCAGTACTACAGGAAAGTATCTGTGCATAAATAAAACAAGATGTTCACTAAATAATCTAATAAAGGGCAGATGTAATTTTGATCCGGTGTATCTCTGTTCCGGCACCAGTAGAATAGGCCATATTACACCTTAGCAGTCAGTAAACTGACATAGATTCAATTCAATTCATATTTTTTCCGATTATATACAGTAAGCACACACCTATAATACTACTGTCAGCAAAACAGAAGGATTGTGTAATGAGAAAGCATTACCAGTGTGATTAAATATACAGTATTATTATGCAACCTACAACTCTCATCTGCTGTGGAC